TATTTACAATGAGTGTGTTTGTGTTTTTGTGTGTTTGGGTGTTTTTGTGTGTGTGTGTTTGTGTGTGTGTATTTGTATGTACATTGATAAGTTTGTACTGAACTTGAATTGTAGAGTCACTTGGGTTTCAATGGCCTGATTTTCGATTTTTTTGGATAGGCCATCATAGCTATCGTCTATATTGATGTGGCCCGCATGTGAAAATGTACCTGCGCTGATGTTCTGGCACACATACGCCAGCAAAATTTATAAACCAGCTTTGGTCTACTTATACTCGTTTGTTCAAACGCGAGACCACAGGGATCCTTTCATCACATTCACAAGATATAGATTACAATTGTATGCCGGAAATATATCACATGCTGTGGCTGGGGGAACAGTCATATGTGCCAGGTTTACTCCTAGCTCGTATGCAGTGCTCGGAACGGGTGGTCGATGGTGGTCATCCGATAGAATCGAATCAGAAGCCTGCGTAAGATACTCGTATCAAAACTTCGTGTCTCAATCATAGCTACAACCAACAAAGGTTACAAAGCAAAATGAAAGAGAAAGTACACCCACGGGCTAAGAACGATGTTCTTACCTACTCTTACCTTACCAGACGCCCGCGAATTTAAATAGAGACTTGAATAAGCTGCGTGGCTTGGCCGCCAGCACACTCGTGGAAATGGACGCTGAGAAAATCAACGTCTCGGATTTGGCTCTCCTCAATTTGGGTCGAGCGGCGAAAGAAATGACTGATGACGAGGTCAAAGATGAGATTGAGACGATTATGGTACAGGCAGCAAAAGGAATACTTACAGGTTTGTTGATATTTCCACAGATATAGCATATACCAGAATGTTATTGTTTCCCCATGTGGACAGCTTTTGTTTAATACAATACCTTGTGTACGTTGTGAGAATATTAATAGCTAGATTCTAAAATGGCTATCCATCTCGTGCTCATTCTTTGGGAACTCCCCTCCCTCGGTGTATTCGGCGAGCGGAAACATCAGCGGTTGAGCTCGTGCCTCAAATGTCAAATTGATAAACAATTTGCAAAGTGGCAAAGCTTGCAAATGGTTCTCTAAAGTTAAGTGTGTGGGTTGCGGACCTTTCTGATAGCATTGCCATCGTGGAATTGGCGGTTCTGTCTAGATAAAATTTGTGTGACAATTGGATTTGGGAGATTCAGATCCTTTTATCAGTGTCGTTCCCGTTTTAGAGAGCGAGAGAAGGGCAAGACCACTTTTTAGGTGACAAGTTTGTGCCGCCTTTCAAATTCAACTTCTCCTGGATATGCGAAGTGCAGTGTGTAATAAGAATATCTCATATGTGCCTGAATGAGCAAAGTATCAACATTTGTATTCCCGCTTATAGCCGGGTAGCACAGCTCGTGTGCCCAAATATATACTGATAGGTACTGTTGCTAAAAAAATTGTTCTTACAGAGTCTTGGCCACCTATTGGGGTGCTATGATTCACTCGCTCCGCCGGGATGATTTTCAGCTGAAAATATCGGACAGCCACCGCATTCCTTCTAGTTGTCATGTATATCCGCGCAGGGTGTCGCGCGGTAGCTTATGTACGTCTCATCCATCCTCACGTATCTCAGGCAATGGACTAGAATATGGTGTAGCTCTTCGAGCCGCATCAAATCAATTATATATACCTGAGCTGGATCGCCTGGTGTTGAAGGATGCAGTGTCCTCTAGGCCCTTCAGGTAAAATGTGTGCACGGGCTGTATAGATCTACTTATTTTATGCACCCTACGATGGGCCCCGAAGTCAAATATCAATGATCTGTGCGTGCGTGCGTTTCCGCAAAGCCATGCCAAAGGGTGTCTTCTGCTTGAGGAATACTACCTTAATGAAGTCCGGATTGTATCTATAAGTGTCTTTTAGAATGAAGCACATTGTCATACAACCGTTGGGTACTGTGGTTTGGGTCCACGAGCTCATCACATCCGCACACGCGTGCATTACTTCCACATTTCAAGTATATATGTATTTATACACTTATCGGTTTCCTTTCCGGTTGATTACTTTCATATGATATATATATATATATATATATATATGCATTAATCACATACCTGCCCATTCGACACACCAGCAATGTGAGCTCAGTGAAGAAGGTGGCGATCAGCACGAGGGTTCTATCACTCATACACGAGGTTGTCTCGAAGAATATCCACATCACCAAGGTGAGTGTACACTGTGAAAGTATTCGATCTATTGTTCTACACCATGACCCAATAGTCCCTCATCGTTGGTACATTCAACTATCACTCAACTGCACGATGGTGAGTAGCTCTTTTCGTGTTAGTTGTACAATTTGAGGTTGATTTGATGCGACCCGAAAATTGCACCCGTGTGCACTATAGGGTCTGCTGTCCACATCACTGTATGCATGAATCCCATTCATCAAATTCGCCTTCTAGGGCCGGCCATGGAATGTGACACCACACAATCATTGTATGCTTTTTTAGCCAACGTAAGCACTTAGGTGAGTTTTTATCCGTATCGCGATACATCGAGCGCGCCTGTAGGAGCTGCTTCTAACCTCTATTCATTTGAATTTTTTCGTCGAATCCCAGCGAGATCTTTTCTACACAGATGTCAAGCTATTCACGAAACAGTCTGAATCAGATGCGATTATTGAGGACGTTGCGACGATGATAGGATGCACTAGGAATAGTCTCAATGTCGTCGCATCCGAGAAGGGTGTTGTGGTATGTGGTCTGTGCTGTATTTTGGCTCTCGATTCTGTACAAGGGCAGTGTTGTACCTATGATGTGTGGGTTGGGTACTACAATTGTAGGACTTGCAGTAATGTGGCTTCGACCAGGTTTGATCATCGACCGGTTTGATCATACTAAGTTTATGCAGGCAACGAAAGGTAGTCCCTTCCGTATCCGCAGGCTCGTGATTGCGATACTTTCCGCATCTCATGCGCGATGCGTCAAGAGCCTGCGAGCAAATGCTCTGTACCTAGTCACAGTACCGGACCAGCTTGTCCCTTTGATACTTGTGTTGAATATATGGCATAAAACTCTACTATATATATCGATGATATTTCTTAGCATGTAGGTTATGTAGTCATCAGATATATTGCGGATTCGAATGCTTAAAAAGACTCCTTCTCCGATGCCAATCTTACCTTTGTACTCCTTCACCGAATTGAAAGGTCGGGCGGATGTCATTTCGAGACGATGGCGATCTCATCGACTGCACAAAAATGGGTGTCGGCGGGAAAGTCATTCCGGGTCTCATTGACAGAGTGTCTGACATTAAGGCGAGTTGTTTATATATCGGTCTTCGGTGTAGTGTGTCATATTCCGTACTATGGTGTTGTGCATGCACTCAGCTTAAAATATGGGCCAAGCAGTCCGAATGCCTGAGTTCAATGTCATATATAGCAACTGCCAGTATGTGCTCCCCGGGATCTGTTGCCCACTATACACTTCATTGTCACTGTTGGTACATGCCCTTTCTGAGATCGTATCGGGCGCACTTCGCGCGAATCGCTCTATGCGTGTGCTTGAATCACATTTAAAACATGCGACGTTCTCGATTGAAATACTTTGTGGGACTCAGCACTGTGCACTGTTTATAAATTAGTTTGCAAACGTGCCATGTCATTGAAGAGTTGATTTTTTCGTGCGAAACAAAGGTGGGACTGAAATAGCAAGTGAGTTATGGATCGTGTCGTTCAGATGCCTTAGTGGCTGATAGCTTGGTCGACAGATCAAATGTTTCTTTGTGTGCTGTGTTTTAATCACAACAGACTCGTACACCGATCAAGAAATGTCTCGCATTGATTGAGCTTTTGGATTCAGAACCTTACTTTCAAATTGCAATCTATATATGCGACGATGTACCCAGGCTTTCGTATTACAATCCTCGCTTAGTCCTTCACAGAACGCTTAGGCCATTTGTGACGCTTTCTAATCCAACGTCGCCGTTGCGCTTGTTTAACACCGCCACAGGGCGATGCTGAGTTTGTCCTTCTGGTGGAAAAGGATGCAGTCTTCATGCGATTAAGTGAAGACAGGTTTTATAATGACTACCCATGGTATGCACCGCTTGAACGAGCACAGAATACGTATAATCAAATCAATGGGCCTGCACCTATGCCAACGTCCTCGTGTGGATGACCAGGGTTGTACTTGTACACATATACACATATCCTTGCATCTTTAATGTCCACGTAGTGTAGTGTCCTGTGTGGTCTTCGGGGTGATATCTGTATAGCATCACATGCATATGCCCCTACATTCTTATCTACGTACTCGCGAGAGTGTTCAGTGCCACAGTGTCTATAGGAATTGGGCTGGTAGATATACCTACCTGTCAGTTGTCGGGAGCGGTGCCATTCACGATGTGTCATAGTCGGTTGATTCCACCCCGTGAGCCCATTGTAGGATACTATCAGCTGCGCAGGAGTACGCGCGTATCATGGCATATGTTTATAACTAGTCATACCCTGCTAGTAGCATCGTTGGCCCCAGATTTTCAGCCACAGCATGTCAGCACACCTACCTGTATGATGTCCACGTGTATCTGAGCTCTCAGTCCGGGCACTCAGTAAATATACGTTATCTAATCCTGTATTGCCACTGCATTGGCGTTTGTCCTCTCGTCTCAGCATTATAATCACAGCTAAGGGGCAACCAGATATAGCGACCCGCTTATTTCTCAAGAGGATTCGCACAATTCTGAAGATACCTATCCTGGGGTTGATGGACTCTGATCCCCACGGCCTAAAAATTCTATCCGTCTACATGCACGGAAGTATGTGGCCTGTGCACGTGTATTTGTATGTAGTACCCTGTTGTTTCAATAGCTTGGGTTTAATCTGTAGCTGTGTTCTGCTCTGTACTTGAAAACCATCTTTGAGAGACTTGGTACTCTTGCAGTCCCAAGCAGTACCCATCCCATGGCTGACTTCGCATACCCTACACCGATTTTCTTTATCTGCACCCCATAGAAGGGCTTTTTAGATTTGGCACCCGCATGTGTTTTTAGTTGTTCTCGGAAATGTTCATTCAGTTTGTACTTTCGATGGAAGGCAATTGCATTTATTGATTTCAAAGCCTTGCTCTAGTTTCTACCAGCGTTGCCTGTTACCCCCCCTAGCAGCGTGAATATGATCTACGTTCTTGGAGTAGTCATTTTCTGTGCTTTGCTACTACTGTGTTCAAGTTAGGGAAGCATCACTCGATATCATGCAATTATCGAAGCCTCTCCATGGTAGAGCTAGTCTGTAGTGATCGAGACAAAATATTTTACAGTTCCGACATGTACTGGTGTGAGCCTGGAAGGAAGCGGGGAAGTACTAATACTTCACCATTTGTCTCATAGTTGGTATGCTTTCATGTCGATCGCTTGAGGATTCGCCTGGTGCATGCCCACCTAGACCACCTGGTCATTTCCGCACCCACGTATTTTCATAACCAAAAAAAGAGTCACGTTGTAACACAACGAACATTTCTATTAGTAACTTCCAGATTTATTGATGCTGCGTATAAAAACAATTACAATCGACTGTGGTTCCGCCAGAAATGAGAGGAAGTTTCCTACTTACAACGACTATGTGTCCGAGTCTGTGAGCAGTACTCTACAGAAAACATCTTTGTAATTCTCGACGCGCGTGTGCAAATAGCTTTGATTTATATTTGTTATTTTACTCACGCGCGATAAAATTCACAGGCAAAAATATGTCGTACGATTCCGAACATCTGACGACAGCGGACATCAAATGGCTAGGCGTACGACCGTCTGACCTAGAGCGGTACAATATTCCAGTTGAGTGCCGGCTGGATATGACGGAGTCGGATTTGAAAACGTATGTCAAATGGTCAGTTCTGTACATCGATCTTTGCAGACTATGAGTAGTCTAAATATTTGCCTTGTACATATGTTGGGAGCCACGGGGTTCTTCGTGTTTGCTCATGTTTGTAGTGAATCTGCTGTTGTCACCATTCAAGGGGCAGTTCATCTGAATTCCGCTATACGCAGCTGCCCATTGTCTTGCGAAACGCAAAAGCATGATTGTCGAATATCTAGTGCAATCAAACAAGTAAGTATATCATGGCAGACGAACGTTTTGAAATCCAGATATGATTATAATGCACTGCTGCACTTGTACTGACAGCGGGAGAGAATTACTGAACGAAGACTTCGTGAAGAAAAATCCCAAATGGGTCGAAGAGCTCGAGCTTATGAACAAAACAAAGCAAAAGGCCGAAATTCAGGCTTTGTCTTCGTTTGGCTTCCAATATTTGAGCAAAACATATCTTCCGCAAAAGTTAAGGGCCGGCGATTGGATCTGATCGTTATCTAAAGGCACCTGACTTTCCACGAATAGGTTTTTGGGCGAACCCGATTATCCTGACTGGTGGGTGCAAAATAAACAAATATGAAGAAATCCTTCGACCTGAGTGATAACTTCTACTGTGTGCCACACAATAAAAAGCAAGTCAACTCCGCAAACCAAAGTGGGCCGTCTATCCACTTAGTGCACACAAAAACCCAAATTAGCGAGCCAACGATCATTAGTCACCGGCCTCAAAACTCCGCAAATTATCATGCTACCAGATTTGTACAGTATCTACCCTCGGTGCTCTCTCGTGTAGTGTACTATATTACTAATTATATTACTACTCTGTAGCGGGTGGGCTCAGCTCACTCTGTTCTTTGTCGCAAACTAGTTCTCTGTAAACTCAACAACCTTTTATCAGTTTATTTATTTCTCATATGCATAAAACGAATTTGCGATATTCATAGCAGATCGTAAAGCGTGTTACGAACATTGAACAATTGCCGTTAAAAGATAGGCGCATGGACTAGTGAATTGCAAGGCTCTTAAGCTCAATATTCATTGGTTCACAAGCTGTTCATGCTGTTCGCATTCTTGAGGCTCAAGCGTTGTCCGAAATTTATAACTTTTTCAGAATCAAAATCCGACAAGAGTACAAATTAAAAAAATCAAATCACAGGATTTGTTATACGCCTACGGGTATGCGGACGATCCTCTGCGCTCGGAAAATCATCGCGTTGTGTCATTGCCTCTGGAGGCCGGTGGTCCTTACTTACTACTTTAGGTATGCTATAGCCAAACATCCGGATTGTTTGACAGTGCCCTCTGTAAGGACCGTGTTCAGCAGCGGCGCAGCGCTCATATAGTCCCGATGTAACGCAGTGCGTATCTTAACGGGCGCTAGGCGTCTACGATTGAAAGTGCCGTCTGTTGTGTGTTGCCTGGGATTGGGCTTTGTCTGCAGGTGCGCTACACATCCTGTGGTGTTTTCTGCCGTGCCCGGTTACGGAATTATGGCATGAAAGTGCGCGTTCTTCGAGTCCTCTTTCGCGCGACATTCTTGAGTATATGGCTCTACCATTGTCCTTGAAAGTAAAATGGCCCTACCATCGTCCTTAAGAGTCCATCACCATCACACATGAGAGTCAATGACCCTACCATTGTCCTTGAAAGTAAAATGGCCCTACCATCGTCCTTGAAAGTAAAATGGCCCTACCATTGTCCTTGAAAGTAAAACGGCCCTACCGTTGTCCTTGAAAGTAAAATGGTTCTACCATTGTCCTAGAAAAATGGCCCTACCATTGTTCATAAGAGTCCATCATCATCACCCATGCGAGTCCATGGCCCTACCTTAGTCCTTGAAAGTAAAATGGCCCTACCATCGTCCTTGAGAGTCCATCACCATCACCCATGAGAGTCAATGGCCCTACCATTGTCTTTGAGTGGCCCTGCATTCGTATCATTCATGACCTGAAGGCGCAGCAAGTGCGAGTCCAGTTCTAGTTGATGGCTTGTCACCTGGGGTCGGTCTCAGTCTGAAGTTTGATCCAATCTGTGTCGATGATGAGAGACAATTTAAGCATGAGTGTGGGTTGAAATGGTAATCCGAGAAAAGACACCGTTCGTTTTTCTCGTATAACGTGTCCTGCTAATCGTCTTTAATTAAATGATTAATCACGTAAATTTAACTAATGGCAGTCGCAAAGTCACCAATACTTAATTAACCCCAGTCGCAAAGTCACCACTACTTAATTAACCCCAGTCGCAAAGTCATCACCACTTGCTTAATGACAGTCGCAAAGTTACCACCATTTAATTAATCACAGTCGCAAAGTCATCACAACTTAATTAATCACAGTCGCAAAGTCATCACCACTTGAATTATGACAGTCACAAAGTCATCACCACATAATTAATGACAGTCGCAAAGCCACCACCACATAATTAATGACAGTCGCAAAGTTATCACAACTTAATTAATGACAGTCACAAAGTCATCACCACTTGAATTATGACAGTCGCAAAGTCACCACCACTTAATTAATGACAGTCGCAAAGTCATCACCGCTTGCTTAATTACAGTCGCAAAGTTACCATCACTTAATTAACCACAGTCACAGAGTAATCACAACTTAATTAATGACAGTCGCCAAGTCATCACCACTTGATTAATGACAGCCACAAAGTCACCACTTGATTAATGACAGTCGCAAAGTCACCACCAATCATTACTGACAGTCGCTGCCAACTATTCTTGAAAATTGTCAAAGAGAGAAACACGTACTGATGTGGTAATGGGCGTTTTCTTTAAAGTTTCGCTGCATGATATAGAACAGGTCATCAACGCCTTGCAGTGTTATGTTCGTGCGTGTTCGGTGTTCGACGTATTGCAGGAGTGAGTTAATCGGGTCATACCACCATCAATATTCAAAAAATATATATACTTTTCTCGATATGAGATGATGAACACAACAACACTTAGATAGGAAATAATATGATCGCTGACTACACAGAATGGCACACACATGTACAAGCCTAATTTAATAAGTACCCGCGCTATACTTGCCTTTCCGCACACACAAACTTCCATCCCCACTATAACTCCACAAGTATTTGGTGATGAGTACCTATAACGTGAGTGTGGCCCTTCAGTATGGCCACATCCAATGCTGTACGGCCGGTGTAGTCCTTCATTTGCAGGATATCGGCTTCGCCGTCATACAGCTTCTCCAGGAAGCCCAGCTTTCCTTTAAAGGCTGCCACGTGCGCCGCAGTGCTGTATGTTTGGCGATGTTACATACAATTGTAAGTAGTAGGGTAGATGCATAAGAAATCCCTCTCCTGTGATGTGCAGAGACGAGCATACCGTATACCAATACAGGGCGATCATAGATCGTGTCGGGGATGTTTGGCTGTGTCCTGATGTTGGTTTTCACGTTGCCTGTCTGGGAAGACAAAAAGTCACGACGTAGAATATATTCGCACATAACAACATGTACGTTAACGCTGCGTTTAGTACAATATAGTCGAACACATATTATGTATCTCGCTCTGGAGTTCAGAATCCATTGCTATGCTGAGACTTGGCTGACACGTCGATTTTGGATACGTTGCGCTTGAGGGCCATTTTGAGCCACTGCAAAATGGGGAGCGGGTGCAAACCGAAGCACTAGGTGTATAAATATACAAAATCACTAGCAATTTATCCGGCGCATGCTGTAGTGTTTTATCCGGACCCTTCTCTACAGCAGTACCTCAAGTCAGCAGAAAATCTTTGGCCGCTACCGAGAATCGGACAAACCCCGAACTTGTCCGAATAAAATAGCTCATATGTAGTCTGGTCTTCGGTTGTCTTGCTTTATCACATTGTGCGATGACGCTAAGTAATCTTAACGAGCACACCGAATGCCTGTCAACAAAAATATCCGCGAACTGACTTACCTGACAAACGTTACTTGTGATGTTGCACTATCTTGGCACGAAACCCAAATTCAGCGCTATAACATGCATACACGCGCACAATCATCGTGGCTTGTACACGAATATGCAATGCACAGATGAGCACTTACCGCTTATATTTATCCGTGTCTGCCAAATTAGCGATTCCTCCCTCTAGGAGAAGGTTGATCGCCTCGTATTGCTGTCCCGCCCTATCGCAGTATGCGCTACAAATATGATATAGAGTGAGTACGGCTACGTCTATCAGAAAAGACACTCACTCTCACTGTATATATGTTAAATGCATGTAAATGGAGAAATCGAACACCATGCTTTTTTATCTGCAACCGAGCAGACTACTATGCACAGATATGATTTTATCTAATACAATGAAAACTGACGTACGTGCGCTCAATCTGAAAGAAACCAAGAAATCCTCGTTGATATGGTAATCAATATCTGCATTCAGCTGCACGGAAAGCGTCTCTTATCAAGCGGATATACCATGAAGATGACTAGAAAGCATTACACCTTCTCCCATCCCGAACTCGACTCCCACACAAACACACAACAGTCTAACAGATTGACAACGCTTACCATGCCACGTGCGTCAGTGGAATGCCCTCTAAAAGGACTAACTTGAGTTCTGCTGCTTTATTCGCCTCTTCGTCATTCTCCTCCTGTACATCCTCATCATCTGAATCATCTACGCCAGACCAAAATAGAAGGCCGCCGGTGTCAGTAAGTATTATGCGAGGGTGTGCTATAAGCGGGAGAGTTCATTTTTCCAACTCTTTTTCTTCAGCCAGAAGTATGATATTTTGGATCACCCTTGAGGAATTGCTGATTTGTGATGAGAAGATGAATACAACTACTGCACATCGTTCTGAAGAACCCTACTTCAGAGCTCCAAGAAGAACGCTAGACACGGAAATAACCCACTGAATCGCCCCGACACGAAAACAAGGTGTAAAGCGAATCAATGTTTCTATCAGAATCACACAAGATCTGTTTAGACACATAGAATGAGCCGTTGGGAAGCTTCACACATACCATCGCTCTCACCATCACTTTCGCTGTCCCCTAGTAGAGACTCCGTTAAGAGCCGCAGAATGTCCATATTGCCTGGATGATAAACCATTGATAGATATAGCCCAAAATGAGCGGTCAGTAAAAACAGGGTAAGTGGCCAGCATAAATAAGGTGTACAACAACGGCTCGTGATAGCAACTGCACTCGAATCTGCCAATGGCTTCTGAGGGATTTTAGGGTTGATGGAATCAGGAGGTGTGAAAATGTAGCCTTCTACACGATCCTTGCTATGGCTTTTTTTTTTGCTTTGGATTAAATCAAGATGTCGTTGTCACCCCATCATTTAAGCATCTGGTGACGATATATCAACCAACACGTCTCCACTCAGCTTTCTTTCAATTGTCGCTTCAAGACCAAAATGGTGGTTTTAAGGTATTTACACCTGCAATATTTACAAACTCGATTGCATCGTGTAGCCCTTTGCGTTGAGCGTTACACAATACATCGAATTTGCCGCGGATAGAGTGCTACAGCAGCGTTTTGTATTCCTGCTAATCAGACATGTAAATGTATTCTGTCGAGACTGCAACAGATCTGGTGGGACAATATGCGATAGATCGACTTCACATCTGTTGTGCACTCCCCTCGCCACCACTCATTCTGGCGATGGTGTGCCACTGGCAAAGCATCGTGTCAATTGCTACGACGAATTCAGCTGTGGTCCAGTGAAGAGACACGACCAAACACTACGCGCAACAATACAGGCGCAGACACACCTTGCAATGGTACTTGAGAAATCACTCGCCATTTCATGCCCGCCCTTTATACAGAACTATATACTGCTCATGGTATCTACTAATACTAAATTATATACTACTCATAGTATCTACTATCACTAATTTATATACTTACAATATCATTACCTTTTTGTACAGCATAGTGTAGGGCCGACATGCCATACGTATCCAGAGAGGCAATTTCTGCGCCTAGGCTGAGCAGCTTCTCCACCGTCTCCTCCCGTTCGTAAACAACAGCATAGTGCAGCGGTGCTCGTAATTGACCGTCGCATTTCGTTACCCACTCCCCGGCGGCTTCACTCCCGTCATATTCCTCGCTCTGTTGTGTTATATTTTGCAACACACTTATGTCGCTCATTGCAGACGCGCAGTGCCACAGTGTGATGCCATTGACTGCTTCTTGGCTATGCTGTAATGGCTACGGGACAAGAGGATTGATAGAGAGGGCATGAGTATGGGTAACGTGATCTCTCAGAACTCCAGCGCATACAGGAATATTCTCTTCGAGTTATAATTTCTTCGTACTTAGGTATAACTTCGTGTCGAAACATGAAAGTACTTTCGCACATCCGCCTTAATAGGCTAATGTTGACAAACCCCAGCAAGCAGAGTAACTGGTGCCTCTAGTGTCGCTGGCTATGACCTCAATCGAACACCACTCCAAACACGGGGTCCACATGTTCCTCAAGTACCCACAAACAAATCAGTACATTCAAAACACAGTCACACTCGCACTCAACACAAACACACCTCGAACCCCTCGTCGTGTACCACACCCGCGATCCCGCAATTGATATCCGCACCGAGACTCAGTAACTTAAACGCTGTTTGACTATGTCCTTTAGCCATGGCCAGGGCTAAAGGTGTGAGGCCAAATTTGTCGATACAATCGATATAATTTGCGCTCCCCGTGGTACTGCTATTTTCGATACTATCCATGGTATCGGTGCTTTCAACTGTAATGTAGTTCAACTCTAGCTCTGTCGCGTTTTCCTGTGTGTTAGCGTTGCGAGAGTGTTAAAATGTGAATGTGTACGTACGTAGGTGACGGATGAATTCGGGGCAAGCGTTTCTCTAGATAAAGAAAAGGGATGTGTTAGAAAGAAATTGCAATAGAGCTGTGTGCATTATGTCGTAGTTGTCTATATCTGTTGAGTACTTTCTGCCATAGTTAATATTTGCTGGTTTCATTCTGCTATAGATTTCTATGCTTGCGAAGGATATTCTGCTATGAATCTCTATACTATAAATGTTGAGTTCACTCTCTTAAGGTTTTCCATCTTGGTCGTGTTCTCGGATGAATACCTCACTCGTGCTCAAAATATTGCCACGTCTTTCATTTAACACCAACGTTGTAGGGACTAAGAACTCAAGCCGCCTTGAACACCTACAGGCATGTACTAGTCACCACACCCACACAAACAGCCCAACGACAGTACCTGTATCAAGCGCACCACCACCTCTGTGTGGCCCTGTATGCAGGCTATATGCAGACACGTGCGTTTGTAGGGCAGACACACGCTCGTGCTCTCCGCCCCATTACTCAGCAGCATAGACACGGCTTCCACACTGCCACCAATGCACGCATAGTGCAGGGGCGTGTGGTGTGTCTGGTAGGTAAGAGCGCGCACATCCGCCCCGTTGTCTATCAACTGCTGCACACACAGTGTGTGTCCACCCAGCGCGGCGACGTGCAGTGGGGTGATGCCCTGAGAGTGAGATGGGATAGGGAGGAGTGAGAAAGTGGGCTTGTAGGCAGGGAAGAACTTTAGATATAAATAAGGAGTCGTAACAGTGACAGCAAGACATGTAGCCGTTAGTATGAGTTCAGGAGGTGTCGCTTGCACTGTGTGGGATTGTTGAGATAGATGTCGACTTCCACAGACAAGTACAGCGACTCCCTTTAGCACCCGTCGCTCACCTCTCTAGGTCAAGCGAAGAGTGTGCCCTTACCCACACATGTGCACGTGTGCTTTTTTCCTGAACGCCCAACATGCACAGAGATACATGCTTCTCTGAAACGAACCATAGCTAAACCATAGCTAACCTGACCTTGAAACCATCCTAGTTGGTTTCTTTTCTGTGCTAGCTAAGCGAGTTGTACGCCTCGTGCAAGATTGAGATTCTAGACACGAACGCAAATGAAAAAACAACTATTGTTCTATTTCAAAATGTTCCTTGCATGGAGCTACACTTCGCACTGACAACATTTACCTGGGCTACTGCGTACTAGGCTAGCTCCATACTCTTCCATCATAACAAACATAAAATCAACAGTTTGCACATGCGTACAGCTGCCGATATGCATCTAGGGATGCAGATATCAGACTAGACTGCATATACCACTACGCTGATTCACAAGCTACCAGAAGCATATACTGAGCATCAATACAGGCTTGCACTCGTCATTCGCAATGCGTGGTAAGGCAAATAAGAATGAATACGCAAGACACGATACTCAGTCACATGACAGTTGCAGGCCGACACGTTATATCCACACACACAGGCATAAAGACTCTGCCCATCAGTCAGACCCACATCACCCTACGCACAATACACACTGCCCAATGGCGCAAATGTATACATATGGTACCACAGCATACACAAAGCACAATAACATCCACACTCACATAACAGCACATGATTGCACTCCTACACGCATAATCCCGACAGACCCAAAGCTCAGCGCAATTACATACATACATACGGACGCCCCCACTCCCAAGGTAACCATGCACACCTGCTTGTCACGTAGCTTGGCATCGCCCTTCCGCACAGACAGCACACTGCCTACGGTCTCAGGGCAGCCCCATCGGCTCACCCAGTGAATGAAGGAAGACCCGTATACGTCCGACTTATCTTGCAACTCTTTCCTTTCCTGGGAGGTGAGGTTTCGGAGGAGTGTTCTGAGGCATGTCTCGTCGCTCCTCCTCCCCGAGCCATAACTGATTTGTGTGTGACGGATTCATGTTTTAAGCGAGTGCAAGAAAAGGCACGTATAGCTGGTTCTGATATATGACAATATTTACACATAAACATTTACATATGCATATGCATATGTATATCCATATACTCTCTACTGAGCGTGTCTTTATCTAGCCCTCTGCAACAAAACTCGGAAATATTTAGGCCAAACATCCAATCACTAGCTGGTGTACCAGACTCCTCCGCCTCCTTGAAAATATGCGAGACACAGACAATATGTAGAATATATATATATATCTATATATATGTATATATGTATAAATGTATATATATATATATATATATATATATATATATATATATTAGTATATATAGTATATATATAATAGTATAC